ATTTATAAGGACTAAGTCTAACTATATTCTTTACTTATAATAATACTAGCTATACCTACTATTATAGTAAGTAAGTAAAGTAGTCTAACGCTAAAGTAATTAATAGACTTAATAAAGTTCTATATAAATAATCTAGGTTTAATATATAGTAGTAGCCTATATAAGACTATTAACTTAAAATTACTATTTTTTTATAACCTTTATGTTTATATAAGTATACTATAAAACTACTATAGCATAGTAGTAATAGTAATACTTAAAGGGGAGCTATATAAGTATTATACTACCTTATTACTTAGTTATTTTAATAATTTTAACGTAATAATAGTAAAACTTAAATAACGCTTTAAAGGTAATAAAGTATACCTTTTATACCTAGCTAAGCTCTACTATACCTCCTTTAATTTAATTACTAAAGAAAACGCTAGTAAAAATAAGCTTAAAGTACTTAAGGCACTTATTATATAAATTACCTAGTTAGTATAAGTAAATACCTATAATAGCACCTTATATAATAAAAATTATTATAAGTAATTACTTACTTACTACTATAGCGTACCTAAATACTTTATTACTATCCTTAATCTACTTACTACCTTTAGTAGCCTTTATATATAATTATATAGTAGTATAGTAAATTTACTTTTTTACTATAAGCTATAGTTATAATACTTTACTAATAATAATTATAGTAATAACTAATACTAAGTTAACTATAAGTATAACAGCTAGTATAACTATAGGGTAGACCCCTAGAGATAGTAAGGCTATTTATAAGGCCCTTTATAGTTAGCTAGTAGTAAAGCACTACCTAATAGTAATTTATCTAAGAAGTGCTTTATTTATAGTAAATTAGGCTATTAGTTAACTAAGCACACTAAGGAGGAATAATAAGCCTCCTTTATATAGTATAAAAGCACCTACTTTATATAGGCTTTATAGGCTACCTTTAGTTACTTTCTTATTAACTATAAGGGTAATAAGCTAATTTATCTTAAAGAAGTAAGTAAAAATAATAAAACTTACCTATTAGATAGTAAAAACTATAAATTTACTATATTTTTTATTATAACTATATACTTTAGTAAGTAGTTAATTAATAGCCTATTAACTTATAAAAAGTTATATAACTAAGTAACTTTTTATACTATTACTTATAAAAATCTATATAAAGAAGAATTACCTAACGTAAATATAAAAAGTAGTAATATCTTTATATTTAATAACTACTACTTTATATCTACTTTTTAAGGTATTATACCTAATATAGGTATAGCTAAGATATCTATAGCTAGCTAGTAGTAGTACTTTACCCTTATAAAACACTTTAGTAAGGAGATCTTACTAGATACTACTTATACTAGTAAAGTAATAATTTACTTTAGTAGTAAGGATTACTATAAATCCCTTAAGGTAATCTATATACTTATACTAATTAGTAAGCTTATTTTCTATATAATAATAAGTAATATACTATTTCTCTTTTACCTATAGGATATAAATTACTATAGTATAAAATTTAATAACCTTACTAACTAGCTTATTAAGGATAAGATTATTATACTTATTACCTAAAAATAGGGCTATATATAAATACTTTTAAAGCTACCTAAGAGCACTATTATAAAGTAATACTTAACTAATAGTAAACTACACTAGATTTACTATAGATTTAGCTACCTATTAGTAAATTAACTTTATAAGTTACTTAAATAAGTAGGTAAATCTACCTCCCTTACTACACTTAAAGAAATTAATAAGTACTACTATTACTACTAACTTAACATAAAGGCGCCTAGCTACTTTAAATTTATACTACGTAATAACTATAAATTTAACTATAAAATTATTATTAATATAATATATATAGATAGTAATAAGCCTATACTTTATATAGTTAACTTAGCTACTATATTTAACATAGTAAGATTCTTACGTTTAGTTACTATAAAGTATATATAAGAGACACTATAAATATACTAGATTAATATATATCTTAAGCTAGCTAATTAGATTACTATTAACACTAGCCTAAATTTTTATATAGCTAAATTTAAATATACTGCCTATATATTATTTATTAAGGTTAATAAAGTGCCTATTAAGGCCTATTAATCTATTAGTAAGGCTAAGTAATACTATACTACCTTTTACTATATATATAAGATTATTTATATAGATAGTAATTATAAGCCTAAAGTCGCCTTTTAACTAGCTATTAAAGCTATTAATAATACTACTAGCCCTAATAGCCTTATACTAACTCTACTTATTTTTAAGGTATACCCTTATATTATAGATAATTTACTACCTACCCCTTCTACTATATAGCGCACTAAAGTAGTAAAAAAGGCTATAAATATAGTGTAGTAAATCTATATAAAAAGATAAGTATATAATACACTAGTAATATATAATAGCCTAAATATAATAAATACTATAGCGCTACCCCTTTAATTACTTATCTATATATAGTATAAGAAAAATAGTTAGTAAGGCTTATTTTACTTACTTACTAATAATAATACTACTTATACTATTAAATTACCTTATAGCCTATATAATTTTTATATTACTATAGTAAAGCTATACTATATAGCGTAAGAAAAAGGCTAATTAGCGCTACTACTTATAATAGCTAAAGGAGGTAATAATCCTATATAAGCATAAGGAGAAGAACCTATAATAACTAGTAAATCTATAAAGAAAGTATATAATACTATTATTATTAATAATAGGCTGCCCCTATATAAGGCTATAGCTACCTATAAAAGAACCTAATTACTACCTTTTTTTATAAGATACACTTTACTATTAATATCTCTAATATATACCTTACTATAAAGAGAGCTACTATCTATATACTTACTATAAACTATTATATAAAAGGGTATTATTCCTAGTAAGCCTTTTAAAGAGAATCTATTTTGGCAAGAAGTAAAAGCCTTTATTAGCTATAGTGGTATTTTATATTATTATATATATAAGAAAACGTATAGTAATATATAAAATCTTTTAAGTTTATATATAGTACGTCAGGTTAAAAAAATAAGTAACTATATAAGAAATTACAGTTAGTTATCTAAGGTTATACTAAATAATAGTAAGCAAGATAATTCTTATATAGTTACTTATAATCTAATAGATAGCCCTAGTAACTAATCCTGCCTTTTACCTTATTACGTTTATAACGTAGATTTTACCTCTAGTTATATAATATTATCTAGGCATACACCTAATCTATAACCCTACTTAATTACGTTATTCTTATAAGACTTCCTATATAAATTTACTATCTTTACCTTAGTAACTTTATTATAAAGGTAATAAAGCCGCTTTATAGTATTACTAAGGCAGATACCTACTAGTAGGCTATATATAACTACTACTATAAAGAGAATCTCTAGATAGATTTATTAACCTTTAACCCCTACTTACTTATTTTATTAGCTAATAATAAGGATTTTAGCCTTATTAGTATGTAAATAGATAATATAATTAGCCTTATAAATAATAAATTCTCTACCTATAAGGAGAAAAAGCTTAAGAAAGTAACTTTTACTATAAAGCCTAAGTAACTATTAACTATTAATAATTTTATTACCTTTAATAGCAGTATATTTTCCTTTAGCTATAATAGTAAAATAAATTTTTACTAAAAAGATTAAGGTAAGAAGCTCTAGCTTATTAATATAAATTTACTTACTGCTAAGTAAGATTTTATCTAGTAAAAGGCCTATAAGGCGTATATTATATTAATATACTAACCTAAGGCTTACTTTAACTATTTAGTTACTATATAACACTAAGAGCCTATAGAGGAGGAGATTAAGGCTCTTAACTACTAGATTAAGTAGTAAATAAGTTACCTTAACTATAGCTTACTTTTTTAGCTAATTAACCTTATAACTATAAAGCTTTTTATCTTTATTAATAGCTTATTTATAAATAACTATAATTTTACTTTATAACTTAGCTTTATTATTATACTTACTAATAAAAGTAATATTATATAACCTACTACTAATAATAAGAAATTTATACTTACTAGTAATATTATTTACTTTAGCTTAATAAAGTATAAAAAAGTTATATATAGTATACTAGCCTCTAAAGTCTATAGTATAGTTACTAGTACTAATATTACTTATATAATTAGCACTATACTTATAATAATTACTAACTACCTTAAGTTACTATAAATCCTAATAATCCTTTATACTAACTTATACTCCCTCTATAAGTGCCTTATAAAGCTTAGTACTACTAAAAAGAAGTAACTTATAATTAATATTATAGCACTTTACTAGTTATATAAGTAATATAAGATCTATAAAATCTAATAAATATAAAGAGAGGATAACCTAGTAGATAGATTTATAAAGGTATTACCTAATAAAACGCTAGAGTAGTTAATTAATAGTAGTTAATTAGAGATATAAATAAATAAATAGGTTTTATATATATAATAAATTATATATATAAAAAGTATTAAATACTTTTTAACCTTTTATTTTTATTACGTTTTTAGGCCCTTTATAGATAACTAGAAAATAGGGATAATTTATAGCACTTTAGAAAGTTACTAGTGTTATAATATTAACTATTACCTAGATATTAGTAATATAGATTAACGCTAATTAGTTAGAATAACTATAGCTAATTTGCTATAGATCCACTAGATCTACAGGGATATTATGCAGTGAATTCGCCGCGTAATCCTATAATAGTTTTCCTTCTTTACGTATAATTCAGAACTAGTATTTACCCCTATTATTCGTCACTGCCTATTAATACGTACAGTTAACCGTATCACCATCCTAGTGAAACCAACACTTATGCCTTCCTGTTCCTTCCTTAACAAGTATCAGGAAAGGACACTGGCTCTCTCCTCCGCCTTGCTCATGAAAGTTCCCTCATTGCAAAGAGTATCTTAAATTTCATCGGAAATCTCCCCTTTAAACAGAAATCGCATTCGCGTTGCGACCCCATCTTCCGAGATGTCGACGAGCGGGAAGCGAAAGGCTTCAGATTCCCCCACGGGACCATCCAAGAATGTCAAGCTAGACATCCTCGAACAAGAGTTCCCGAATACCGAAGAGCGCGCCGGGTTCATCGCGACCAAGTTCTCCAAACTTCTCCGCGACAAAACTGTGTTCCCGAAGATTCTTGATAAGGCGCGCATCGACCGCAAGCACCAGTTCGTCAACAGGACAGGTGACATTTCCGAATACTGGTTCAACTATGCTGTGGACCTTATGGCTTGGTGCAACGCTATGAAGCTTGGTCAGTCTGACAGCCGTGGCAAAAGTAGATCGTTACTGACTTTTCGACAGTCCAGTCAGGAAGAAGAGAGTGGTTCCCCTGGCGAAGCGTCCCGTCATCAAAGCCCGAGGATCCCAGCGATAGGGCTGTATGGTTTCCGAAGTTCAAGGAAACCCAGGCCATGCTCGCCAGTCTGTCATCTCGTGAGCGTCTGGATAATGGGCTTGCCTTAATGGAGGAAGAGCCACAGATGAACCGGAATATTCTCGGCATGACCTCGATCAAACTCCGACAGGCCATTTGGGACGACGTCTTTCCGGGACAACCTTGTGTCCAAAATCGCCCATTCGAGGTCGCCGTACCCGAGAATTTCGACTTCGGAGCACAAGTACATGGGGATAAGTCTGAATATCTCCAGCAGCTTCCACCTGGCATAAGAATGGCCATATTTCTTACCGAGAATCTCAAGGGAACAATCGTCAAGTGCCTTGTATTCGGCTACCAGAAGAATACCGTCGATAGCTCCTGGAACAGAACACTCCTTGCCGTGGTCTACAGAACCGCAGTCCAGTGGGCTCGGGAGGCATTCATGACCCAGGACAGAGTCCCCATCAGCCAGGCTTTCAAGAACCTGAGATTCTCGATCGCTCATGGTGAAGTCGTATCTAGCGAGCGGATGAAGCAGCTCAGCCTCGACAAGTCTCTAGTCGCCGAGTGCGATGCGCAGCTTGCCCTCGGACCCTATCGCAACCAGGAGGATCATGCCGTCTTCCGCGTGTCGGCGTGGTTAGAGAAGGAGAAGCTGCTGCCCGCCGATGAGCGTTGCAGAATGCTGCGCGGCTAGTGCGACCAGGTTCACGTCAATCTAGAGAGCCTTACTACGGAAGACATGCGCATAGCCTGTCGTCATGCTTGGGAAGACAAAATCGAAGAGTGGGCTAAGGCGGACCCGCCTCTGCAACTGTCCTGGGATCAGGAGAAGAAGTTCGCCGCCGAGATCGCCAAGTAATGTACCTAGATAGCTGCGAGGAACATGGGGAACAAGTGGAGGGAGGGTAAAGTGGTATTTGTACATGTTCTTTCTTCAGAATGAACAGCAAGAATAGAATGTGTGTAAGGTTTTCCAGAGGGTGCTTTTGCACTTGCTTCTTTTCCTCTCTTACCTTCGCTTTGCCTCCCACCTCCAGTACTCTCAGCACATCGCGCGCTTTTTTCTTATCATTCACAAGGGACACTACACCTCAGTCGGTCGTGGGAAACTAAAAAAATGCCTGGCAATTCGGAGACGGAGGATATCAGACGCGATGACGGGGCACTGCTCCAACAACAACAGCAGCAGCACAGCGCGATACCTGACGCCGACGCGCCAGTCCAGCCACTGGAGTCGCCGGTATCACTGGCGATGGGAGCAAAGCGTCCCGAGAGTCACAGTCTTAGGTATGGCGGCATCAAGTCTGACTCTGTCCTAGGAGACTGACTTGGGCCTAGTAGAACCCCTGACGGAGATAATATTCTTCCTCTCAGTGGCACTGAAAGTAGATCTGCCACTCCGTCGTCGACCGGCATTGTCGACTTTCCAGACCCTTTCTACAAGGGCCACGTGGAAGTTGAAGACGTCTAAGGGAGCTTGGCTCTTCGCGAAAGATGACCTGGTGGAATTACGACGACATGTTCGACGATGAGATTCACCTGATGTGGCCCCTGGTGCCTAGAACCATCCGAGTCTGACCTGGGGGGCTGTTTCCAAAGATGTCTGGCCATTTCTTCTTGTTTTCAAAGCTCCATGCCTTCCACTACTCCAAGGAGAAGGTAAAAGACTACAGAGACGTCCCTCTGAAGTGGTCACAAGAGTTCATTCGCCAGCTATGTTGAGTCGTCTCGGGTGATCTTCTTGGAGAACCCGACGCTGCTGATCGTGCGTATGCAATACGCCGTTGCGTGTCGACCAAGTGATCGTCTTCCATGGCTATGAGACCCGCTATGCTAGCATCCATTTCTCAGAGCCTTTGTTAGGGAAGCGGAGACCAATATCACCGGCAAGTTGATGCATGAGATGCTCTTGGAGGCAGATCGCGCCCTCCTGGATCGTCACAACATTCGGCGGCCTGCGGAATCGAAGTCATTGAACATATTGCAAAAATTGTCACACGAACCGGCACAAAGCCTATCACTAGGGTATCTCCATCAAGTTGCTTTCCCACTAAGCCCAGCGACATGGCTGTTGTAGCGTGGGCAGCAAGCCGTATCAGCCGTTCGCACTTTGATGGGCTTCGCACTGAGCCTGCCGAGCCAGATATCTTACCAACAAAGGCTGAAACTCAGGGATTGATTGGATTGTGGAACACCAGGGAGATGATTATTAAACACAGTGACGGACTGTGGAAAGGAGGGTAGAGGAACAAGATGTCCGTAACCCGGGAGACGCAGGCAAACGCACTAGCATCTCAGACTGTCCACAGAAGAGACCTCTTTGATATTGGAAGAGTCGGGCAACTTTGCGCAAGAGACTAGAAGATGGGAGGGCCGCCTATATGCTTTTCTCTGGTGGCGGGTTCATTCTTAGTCGATGCCGAACAGTTGAGCCGAAGCAGCTGCGTATGTGTTAGTTATCAGACACTCAATGAAGAGAAATAACATACCCTGTGGGCATAACGCGTGACCCATGGCAGCGGAATCAGTGGGCTTATTGTTCTTGGTTCGGCCTCTCAGTCACGATCGTAGCCTCGGGGAGAATTTACTTCAAAAGTCGCCAGGTCGGTCTCGGTATGAATCAGATAGTTCGGGGCTTCTCTACCCCTACTTGCTTCTTTGTATCGTCCAGTCGGAGGTGGTGGATCGCACACGATCGTTGGAGCAGCATGGGGGAGTCGGGGAGAGGTGACAAAATGTTCTAGAAATCCTTATATGTCAGTCTCAATTCACGATACGGCGAGTAGGACGCATCCGGAAGGGAACTTCAAGGCTCGGATGACCACTTACTTGTGTCCTTCACAGTGAAGTAAGGCTCAGGTACGCGGAAAGCTACCAGCAGAATGTATCAGACTGGTTTTCTTCCACAATCTACGAGCCATTTTTGGAGAGGCAAGCTGCCATAAGAGAGAGCCAAAGCTCAGACGAGTGACTGCTGGAGGGTGTCGACGGTGTTTTGCAACCGAGAAGGACGGCCTCCCGCGAGTTGTGCCGCCGGCAAGGCCACGGGAGAGAAGAGTTTTTTCACCCCGGGGGAAATTTGCCGTCGTGTCGCGCGCCTCCCCTTATCTGCCGATCTGCCTGGTCTTTGATACGGACCTAGATCCGGTAGACGCTATGATAGGCGTGGCTGGGACTGCGGCGTAGCAAATAGCCCGCCAGGCTCACGCCGCCGCACACAATCTTTGGAAAATTCGCAATCTGGAGCCAAGGCAGCAAGGCAGCCGGAATATGCTATATCTAGGAGATTCCATTGCCTTCCAGCGATAGCATAGGCCTTCCTCGCAGAAGGCCGACCAGGAGCCAGCGTCCGCGTTGGAAGCGAAGCTAAACCTATTGGTTCACGGAATGCGACCTCAGCCAGAGTAATTGCCCACCAACCAACCAGGCCAGCCAGTGTCGGTCTGTTCTTAGCAAACGTAATGTGGCCAGTGAAGATGATCCCAAAAGACCCCTAAAAAAAGACCTGCCGTGACGACAACGCTTGGATGGTTCACGAGTTGAGTCCGCCGCAGGCGACGCACTCACAGCCATGGTCATTTCCGATGGCAGCTAGCGTTTCTACACCCCCCCCCCCCTCTTTCAAATACACTTGGAATGCATCTTTTCCTCTAGGTACCGGACAAGGGCTTCTGGAGTCGGAGGGGAGAGACATGCTCATCAACATTTTGCCCCGCTCTCCCCGTCAGCTGTTGTATGGACGGACCTTCCACTCCCGTCTCCCACTATTGAGCTGGTCCGAGGACGGAATCACACAATTTGAGTCGATGGTGTATCTTTGTTCAGGTCGTAATGGCAGAGCAGCCTACCGAACATTCACGCAGGTACCTATGCATCGCCAAGGGGTCTGTTGCTTCGTTAGCAGGCCCCCTTGCAAGACCATTCTGTTACGGCAACCTTGCGTAATCACAAATAAGAGGGTAGTAAACTATAGATTTGGTTCCGGTGTGGCGTTTTCTACCGTGCCGAATGGGCTCATGGTTATCATCGGCCTTTCGATACCATGCTTTCCGCTTCTGGATACCAGACAGGCACTTGGTACCGCGCCCGTGCTTGCTATCCTTCATGTATGTGAGGAGAAGCCGGCCACACCTCTTCCAGGAACATCGCTAAACCTGGTGTATCAAAAAGAAATCAACAGACCCAATCGCCTCCTCGGAAGCCTCCCACGTTCCCATTGGCGCCTTCGGTGAAAGAAACGTATGGCGAACACCCACCCGCGTCCTCAGGAGCACACTACCCCTGATTCTCACCGGTTGGCCCCGTTGACGCATGCAACACACGGCGAAATCCTCTTCCAAGAATAATCCAAGTGATTGCAGCGACAATCTCCTGCACCGCCCATCGGTGGGCTCGCCATAGAGAGGACCGTCCCGTTGCCACGTCAGAGCAGACGGACCGCTTTCTGACTCCCGACGCCTAGACGAGGCAACAAGAGGCATCTAAGAACCTTGCACAGTCCGGTTGAGTTGTTCTAGCACTGCAATTGAGCCCATTCTGGCTTTCTGTTCGGCTCAGGGGCAGGGAGTGGCTCGTCCACGACTGCCTAGGGCACCCGGGAAGACTTTTGCAGTGGCTCGAGAGTATGACGGCTGTGTCTTTACATCGCTGCCCTACTCTTGAAGCCCCTGATATCATGTGACCGCCACAGATATCTCCCGATTCGATGCAATACAGATAGCGTGGCGTATCTGCAAGCCTCATATGTTTGTACGCGAACGGCCCTCCTGACAAGACGTAGCGCTTCCGTAGACCCTGGGCTCTCGCGGGAGGAAGCAAGCTAGGTGGCGGCGGCCGCTCCCGCGGCTACAGCGGCCTTCGTTAATCGATTCTCGCGCGCACGGTCTGTAGTTTTGTCCTGCGCCGTAGACGTTGTGCCGCCCTACGTGATGGCGTCGGAAGGTTTCGCCGACTCTCGAGGAATATTCCTCACGGCTTTGGTAGCCGCTGGGGTCTATTTCAAGGCGGGCTCGCGCTTCGCAGAACCCTTAAGATACCCCGCGCCAGCACGTCATATACACGAGCGGTGCTCTCCTTTTATTTCAACTCCAGAGGCGGCCACTTGAGCTCGCAACGATGGGGATCACTGTGTGTTGACCGCGTGGCGGCTGTCCAAGGGCCGTTGAGCGAAACGCCCATGGTGTGTTTTGATTCTATTCTATCTAGTGTTGTCTGTATAAAAAGCCTCCAGATCTAACGAACAAAAGTAAATAAACGAGTGCAGCCCGTACCATATCGCTGTTGTCCATCGCGTTCCGAGTCCCCCCTTTTTGAATATTTTGTTACTGATTCCATATCAGACGTTCCGCTCCCCACCCCTATTTCCCCGTGTCCTTGCCTCCTGAAAACTCCTCCGTTGCATCGACCGGTATATCGTCTGTCGGCCGTGCGGCCGTATTCCAAAGGACGGGCGGCGAGACCAGGTCTAGGCCGTGTGGTTGTTTGTATGGCAGACAATCAGGTTGTGGATGACGGTCCCGTGAACCGTTATCTCTTTGATGTTGATAGCGTGTCGAGTGAATCTGTCGTCGCTGCCGACGCGGGCGCTCGTCTCAGGGGTGCCAGCCGAGCTACGGCCAGTGTCGTCGCCCGAAGAGATCTGGGAGTCCGGCGGACTGCTGCTGCAGTCGTCCAGGTGCCCTTCGACGCTGGCGCCCAGCTCAGGAGTGCCAGCCGAGCTACGGTCGGTATCGTCGCCAGGAGAGCTCCTGGAGTCCGGCGGACTTCTGCTGCAGTCGTCCAGGACCCCTTTGGCGCCGACCTGCCCGTCGTCGCCTTTACCCTCGAGAACGTAGTCCTCACAAGGCATTAGCTCCCCGTGCATGCTGTACATGTGACGCTTTAAGCTATTGCCAGGTACCCTGGTTTTGTAGGGGCAAAGGGGGCAAAGGAGGCAGCGGTTCTGGTTGGGCTGGTCCGACGGGCACATCCTATGGGGTAGTTTGTCGTCTTCTCGGGTGGGAAAAAGTGGTTTGTGTGCAAGAGGTGTCTTTGAGGGCAGAGGGCAGAGATACTAGTGACTGATGGGGGAGAACCTCAACATTCGGTGGCCGGAATCAGGCTCTTTATACTCATTGTATCGAGCCTCTGCATGTCAGCTAGACGGCCAACGTAGCCTGCAGCAAGTTGTCGCGTGCAAGTTGATTCCTTTGGGACAGAACATCCACCCCCCGAGGTACCTAGTACAAACTTGAGCACACCCACCGCTTGCTGGACCTAATCGCCCGTCAAGTCTGCTTAGGCCCGGATTCTGTTCCGAGCCAGCTGTACTACCAGACCCGCCCGCTGTTCCTCTCCGGACCCGATATCTCGTCAGTCCTTTGGGATTCTGTAGGCCGTTCAATCGCGTGGCGATCGCTCTCTCCCTCTCCCACCGCGTCTACTCAGCAATGGGCTACGAATAGCAGGTTGGGTTCACACCCCCCCCCCCCGTTAATACAACAAGTGGATTTAGCGCGGAGGGGTTGGTTTTGAGATGGATCGCAGACTTCTGGTATTGAAGAGCTCGGACCATAGGGTTCAACCCCCCCCCCCCCCCCCCCCCCCTTGCCGCGGGGTTCAACACGACACCATTCCTCGTGCGCACGTACGCTCTTGTGGTGGGTTGGATCCCGACCTCTATGATATGAGCCCAGGTTCTCTAAACAATAGTCGGAGGACATTCGATGTGTGTGGGGCTATTGTCTTTCACTGCCGGGCGAAATTGGTGCTCAACAGCAAGACGTATATATGTAATGACTTGGATCGTGCATGCATCTTGGCGTCCCGGGGTGTTAGCTGTTTCACTTCGCAAGCCTAGTTCCCCTCCTTGTAAGTCAAGTCGGGTTTCTCGAACATCGTTGGACGTGCCGCCAGCGCGTCCAAGACCTTCCGAAATGACGTGGAAAGGAGTGTGGGATACCAGGTGTCTTCTCTCATCTCCCGACGCCCTCTCCCCTGCCAGAACGCTGTTTGCTTTTTCCAGATTTCTGCAATGCTATTGAGATGTCAGAGTATTCACTGACTGCCAAGACACTTCGTTCATCTGCATTAGCTCCTCGCTTAACAACTTTTCCTCATCAGCCGGGCAGCCCACATGGCCCTGGCAGCTTAAGTCGACTGTGCGGAGAAGAAAAAAAAAAGATGGCTCTTTTTTTCCTTCAGCAACTTACGCCACGCAATCTCATACTCGGGTGATTCTATCCGTCAATTTCTTGACGAGCGACTGCTCGTACCGCCCGCCTCGTTTCAATTTCTTATGCACCCAAATTTGGTAGTGCGCAACGTAGCCTGTGTCGACCTGCCCGTTCCTCCTAACGCATGTTTCTTTTGAGAATCTTATGGAGTACAGTCATCGAGACCGCAACACCTGAAATCCAGCGGCGCCCTCACGCGGCTAGATGAACTCGCATGACAGGATCTCAGGGTTGTGTGACGTTGGGCCATACTGCGCCTCGTTACGTTACCGGATTCAGAACCGACTCGCCCTCTGAGTGGCGTCTTTATAGGTCCATTCGTGCACCTTAGCTCGATAAGCTAATATCGGCGCTCATCCTTGTGCAGCTCCGGCTAATCATGAGCGTTAGCTGTCGTCCCAGCCCGAACGCCTAGCCTGGACGGAAGGGCCCGGCGAACCGTTGAGAAAAAAAGCCCGAAGCGTGCACTAAAACATGGCGGCGTTTGGCGTTCTGGATGAAATGGAAAGGCGGAAGGGGGCTGAACACCTCAAACCAGTCCACAAACTTCTGTAACGTCGGCGGCGGCTTTGAATGAAGCGTTGTTGCTTGCTATGGACGAGATCCGATGAGTTCGTCTGGTCGGCAGAGTAACCCCATCATTGAGGCACAGTGCTGGGTGCTTATGTAAGCGGATCACGTCATACAGAGTAGAGAGGCACCCCTCGGCAGAGATTGCTGAGTGGACCATACTTCTTCCAACCACACGCATTTCCATCAAACACATCCGCGCATCTGCGCGCCAGGTACGTCTTCAAGGGCACTGGTCGACCGAACGGGCCACCCACGCACCTTTCACACCGCGGCCTCAATAAAATCACCCGAGGCAGCGAGCCAGCCAGTCAGCCAGCCAGCCGTGCCGTCGGGAATGCAATGGTCTGCTCTCCATTTCGCAAGCCGTTTTTCTCTGGGTGGCCCAATCGGCCGATTCATTGCCGGCACGCGCGCTGCCAATAATGCGAAGTTGCGTTCACCGCTAGCTACTCTGTTCGATTCAGCTCTGATTTGAAATACGCTTGCCGCCCTCCCTTTGGCTTTTTTGGGGGCCAAAATTCGACAAGGTCACCGTCATATATTGCCAGGACGGCCTGCTCCCACGGACTATCGTCGTTCCGGCCACCCCCTGTCGCTTGCTTTTCGGCTCATGACACGCAGCAATAGGTATATCAAAGGTCAGAGCGTTGCAGATACGCACCCCGGTTGCAAGCCTTCTCTCGTTCTGACGGTCCCAGGACGAGGAGATAGACCTTCTGTAGGCGCTTCGCTTCTATGTGGTTCGGCCACGGCCGTCAAACATGGGGCTACGCTTGGCCACGGACCAGCCAAACCCCCGTTTGCCATTTCGCCAAGGAGCGACATCATCTCTACCCTGATGGTCTTTTCCAGGCATGATAATGCGTCCACGTAGCCTGCGACGTAGCTTGACTCACCTCATCGACGATCAACGTATACTTGCCTATCATCTTGCGCGGTTGGAGAGACTTGTGAGCCGGGAAACTAGGCCGACAACCGGGACGAATGCATGAACTGATAGCCGTGCGTATAGTTGACATGCGGCTCGTCTGGTTCACCTTCCCGGTGTCTCTCGGGCACTGTTACTAACCAATCTTCTGCGGCTACAGGCTCCGAGATCCATGTCTGTTGCCTGCGTGTTCTCGATACAAGAGGTTTGGGTCCCGAACCACCAACCCTACAGGCCCCCAGGCCAAAGGTTACTTACTGTCCATTCGTTTATCTTTTCGCTAAGCCAATTGAGGTATGGGCTTCGTCAAGTCGGCCTCGCGGGGCGAACTGTCGGTGCCTTGCTCTGCGTCTCGCTCCTTTGAGTGTTCGTGGGAGTCCCCTATCTCTGATGCGTGTTGTGGTAATGTCAATATCTAATTGGCTCCTGGGGCAAGCTCCAATTTCTTGGTCAGCGGCGGCGGAGTATCCAATCTTGGTCGAGCTGAGTCACCACACCTTCGGTGAGGCTAGTCTTCTACCTCTGCTATCCGCTTCCAAGACACGTCGAGCAGACTAGCGTCGTGGATGTACGGTGTACGCCGCTCTTACGTGGTAACCTAGTACCTCGTAAAATAGACGTTGTCGCCAACGGTGAAAGGAAAATAGGCTGTCAAGGTCCCCCTCCCTGTCTGTCCGCTCGACGACGAGACCACGAGTAGATACATTGATGTACAGCAACCTGCATGTTATGGCTCTGTTTCCACCCTGCGGAACCCCTGTTCGACGGCTTGAAGCAGCGAATCGGAACACGGCAGCTCGCTTCCTAGTGGCCGAAGAGTGTTCACACGAAGAGGACATCGACATACCTACAATCGTCATCTTCCGGGGCCATAAGGCTGAAGATATAGGTGCCAGCGTAGACAGCCCACAGACAATTCTTTGTACCCGCAACATCGGGGAGGGTCGTGAAGAATACGGCTCACCGGGGTCTGGCGCAAGACCTCTCTGAGGCGCCCCCCAACGCTGGGGTCGTCGGCTTGAATGCCTGGTTCTCTACCCGGGACGGCCGCGGGAACCCATTCGCGGATTTCCAAGGCTGCGGGTGTGCTTTTTTTTTGTCTCCCGGTGGGAGAAGAGGAAGCTCGAGACGTGTGAACTGCAGCGTTCGGACTCAGCGTTCGGACTCTGGACGAATCACATGGCAAAGGACGCGATATCGCAGGATCTCCCAGCAGCAGCGTCATGCCCTAAGCGAGATTGTTCCCATGCATCAACGCAGCCTCTTTTTTCTCTCTTTTGTTGCGCGGGCGGCTCTTGCAAGTGAGGAGGCTCCTGGAATTTGGCATGTCTCGCTTGGAAGTCTAGTCTCGTTTCCAAGATATCCAAGGCCCACTTCTTTTCGGTCCTGGACCGCCACCCCTGTCACCGGTTTCCCGTTTCTCTTGAACTCGTCGGCCCAGTCGAACAAAGCCAGCCCACAGAGATAATGGCCTGTGTAAACCGAACTAGTGCCTTGTTGTAGACGTGGAAAATCGACCGTTTTCATCCACCTGCTGCTGGCGGACCCCGGCTGTCGGAAGTGTCGTTGCTGCAGGCCAGTGGCAGCACTGCAGTGCCGCATCAAATAGCGATGCTCCCCTACCATGCACCTCTACCAGGATTCTATGCATTAGCGTCGTGAGTGTGTTCAGCTTGACGGCATTAAGATGTACAGGTACTTACACCTCCACAGGGATTATAAACGTTAGTGTTATACTTACTAACCAGAAGGAGGGTAGGATCAGCAGGTAACTATACTTATATATAGGTGTAAGATAGGCTATATTTTAAGTACTGGTACTGGATTGCCCCTCTGTTATTCTTAAGTACAAGACGAAGTCGGTAAGGCATAGAGTGTGCTAATTGCTGTAAGAAGTCTAAAGGTATTGCGAGCCAGGCTGCCTATATGACTGCCTGTAACTCCTCTAACGTAAGGGTCTAGATATTATAGTGCCTATTAATCTAATCCTTTATCTAACTCTAGTGTAAATACTTCTAAAAGGCCTGTATCTCTATACGTTACTCCTTTAAGAGGTCAGTATTGCGATAGATTAATAGGGTTAAAGGGGGGGTTGTTAGTAGATTATTTGCTATATTGCTGTTATTGTTAGTGTTAAGAGGAAAATGTAGGTAATACGTAGGTATCCGTTGCTTTAGCTGGCTGGTTAATAGTGATGAAGTTATAATTAGTGCTAGTACTAGTACTAATTTTAATAGTAGTTTCCTATATTAAAATAAGTACTGTCTCTTGCTGCTGTATGTGGGGCATTTCACTGCACTAACGTTTATAATCCCTGTGGAGGTGTAGTTGTTTCATAGATCTTCTATGTAAACAGTACGTAGCTGATTACACAGGTACTATACATATAGGTGGAGACATGTGACCTTACAAGTACCTGCCTGTGGTTTGCGGGAAGTTGGAAAGAGAAATATAATACAAAAAGTGGTCTGACGACCCGCAGCCAGCGCATGCGTGGGCAGGGGAGGCGTGCCGGATGGAAGGTGCCGAGAGGCAGGGACGTTGGAGGTGTCCACTTCCCGCCGTGAAAGTAAGCACCCGTTAACTGGCTAGGCATGGTAGCCAGCTGTTTACGGCGCAGTAGAGGATGATGGCGGCGGCCGACCATCTGCCGTAAACCACCTCATTCCTGGCGGCAGGGGAGGGGGGGCTTTATCAAATCAAGTCAATGGCTCTCCAGCTTGAGATACCAAGGTCACGTCGGAGTCAAAGATTCGTTTTCCTTCTTCTTAACGGGACCATCCTGGATGATGGCTTGCAATCGACCCCTTCTGGCCTATGAGAGAGACAAATTGGGTTTGGACGAAGTCGGGCTTCCCTCTTAGGTACTCGATTCAATTCATGTGTGCAAACGCGCCAAGACCAATGCACAGCATTTTCCAAGGAGACGCTGTGTGTCCGGACTCGTCGGGTCCTCTGTCTCCTGTCAGCAAAATGGAGCGTATGCCCTAGAGACGCAGAGCAAAGATGACGGCGCCTATTCCCAGAAACGTGCGCATCAGCCCTCGTGGCTTTTGTCGTGGTTTGACTAGATCCCTCCCTTCCTTGTTCTTCTTGACAGCACTAGTTCGACGGACGGGAGTTACAGCTTCCGGCTGGACACTTTAGGGCTAGCATGACGACATTATCGCCTCTCTTGACCGCTTGAGGTCTGGTGTAGCAGCTGTGGTGTGAGGTAGCTCGCTGGCATGGGCTGCTTAGTGCAATTGCTACAGCTTAAAGAATCAAGTACGTTGCCGCACATCTACTTTAGCGCAGGACAACACACAGGTGCTTGCTTCTCTTTTCCTGTTCACCAAAGTCAGAGGCAAGCTAGCTCCAGGGGGGCCTTGTCTGGGTATGTCTAGGTGGAGCCGGTTCCTAATATGATGGAGATCAGTCGCGCCATGACAATAGGTAATGTTCCTGTGCTCGAACATGTGCGTTCTTTTCTTTTTGAGGCTCTGGGATGAGACGTTCTTCAACATTGTTGTGTTGTCCAGGAAGGAGCCATTCTCCCTCCCCCTCCCCTCCCCTCCCCTCCTCTCCCCTCCCTTCTTTCCCCTTCCTCCCCCTCCCCGCCCGGCCTTTTTTCTTTTTCTTTTTTTTTTCCCTACTTTTTTTCTCCCTGTTCCTTTCTTACAGCTTTCTTTTCCTTCTCCTCTTCAGTCATCCTCACCACCTATCAGCAGAGCACACGATCCCTCTCGCGGCCGGTTTTTGTGATCGGGAAACAAGAAAGGGGGGTGAGAAAATAACCTGCGTGCCGCCAGTGCCCTCGCGCCCGAGAGCCTCGCCGTCAACTCTTCCTTGTGGGCTTCGTAGCATCTTGCTCTCCCTCTTTTCACCCTATAAGCTACCACTGCTGGCACTGTCGACGCCATGCGTTGGCCAGGTCCTACCACGAGTTTCCCTCGTGCAACTTTGTAGGTGGATAACGTGGCGCAGCTGTCTTTCCCCCCCCGCCGTACCACGACAAATCACTTTCTCCCAGCACCTGAACTCGACGATGCTGCCCCTGAAGCACGTTGGAACCCCGAGTCTTCAAAGATCGGGGGCAGAATCTCTGGCTTGCTCGTTTCTCAATCCACCATCGGTACTTCGCGGGGTAATTACTTTCCATACATCTGCCGTACCATTGGCCGACAATGCACTAACAAGGCGAAGCCAGGACTAGTATTTTTCGGCGCATTTGCCATGTTTACGACATTCACTCCCACTGCCGATCCGCTAGATACCAAGCTCGAGCAAGGAACATACTCGCCAACTGGACGCCGACGTCATTCTGCGATGAGGCCTTTTGGACACATAATAAAGCCTAGTAAGCCTCACTCCTCGCGCCTCTCGTCGGGATTCCTGGACTGACCCGCCATCACAGTCTGAATGACGCTGCCGACGAGTCCGAGGATGGAGGTTAGGGGACAGTGCGAATTCATTGCCAAAGCTGACGGTTGGGTAGTACTTGGCACAGTGCATCACAGCAAAACCTCATTTGTTTCGAGTGGCTTTTCCGGATAAATGAATAAATAAAAATAAAGGCCTTGTTCACGCCGCATCATCTATTTTCCATCTGGACGAACCCTTCTCCAAACGTCCGCCCCGTCCGCCCCGTCCGCGGCCCGTTCCGCGCCTGAATGGAGCTCGCATAGAAATTATGATTCGGCATCCCTGCAACTGTTCCCGCGGCATACTTTACTTTTCTGGAAACTCATCCGCGCCTGGAAGGTACGGGTACGTACCAATGGGTCATAAAATCAGGACCTGATAGTCAGCACTGAGGGGGGTGTTTTTCCTTCTGCATCATCATTAGCACCATCAAATTGACCTTTGTTTTAGTCCTTTTCATTCAGCACTAAACCAATCTGCGCCAACTGGGAAATTGGCGCGACCTGCAGCCGGAGCACCTTACTAGTTGCTGCACTTAGCCCCAGCTATGAACCCGCCTTAGAGGAGACGCAGCAGTCTCTTGCTTTCTGCCCCGTTGCTGAACACAAAAGCCAATGGGTTTGAGATGTTAAACCTCCCTTTAAGACCAAGCGGCGGCATACCCTGTCGCGTTAGGGCTTTTGGAGCCGCAATACTAATGTTGAGGAAACATAAAAATAAGAAAAAAAGAAAATCTTAGTGAGGAGGAGGAAGCGGGAGCCGGTGGCTAGCTTGCGCAGGTTGCGTGAAGCAGGGGGCTGGAAGCGTAAACCAACTCATACACAGCTTCTATTGAAACATTTCTTCGTCAAACCAGCTATCATACCTGGTCGCAAGGGACAAGAATGGGATCACGGGCGTTGCATACCTGGTCCAAGATGGCAGGGGCAACCCCATGGTTGCCTATACCCGCTTGACCTGCGGAGCCGAGTTTCTTGTGACCCACAGAGCTTAATTCCATCGTCGACAACTCACTTGGGGGGCGGGCGTGCGGGCGCGCAAGCGGGCGCTTTGAACCGCTGAGACCGGATCTCGATCGCCGATGCGAACCGCCGACCGATCCCGGTGCGCCCGTACGTCCGGGACCGATCGATCCACATTAACCGGCCCAAGCTCCGAGCACCTGTGCCGACAGAGCTGAATGTGTGCGCTGGCTGGCGTTGAAACTTCACGCGACCAAGGCAAATTATTTGCGTTTACCATTAGAGCAGCGCTGGGTCAGAGGCGTCGAGCGGATGTTGGCCAAAAAAAGATCAATGGTTAACCATGACCTTGGTGGATTAACGGCGTTAGCGACGTTAGCGACTCATTGACTTTGGTGACTTTGGTGACTTCAGTTAATGCGATCAACTAGCGATCAGCCAGTGATCAGTCAATAACCCACTGGCCGTCGGGTCGCATCGAGGAAAGGCCACTTCTGCGAAATCCTCTGCCCAGGGACTAGAGACGGAAAAGCCAAACATCTTTCAGTGACAGATTGACGGCGCTTAGTGCCGGCGTGACACGAGCTTCAAAAGCTTGCCCCCGAGGCAGGCTCTGTCCCTGTCAGCCACATCGCAGCCCACCTAGACGAGCCAAAGTGCATACGGTCTACGGGCGTAAATGATTACTTGCTCTGCTAGTAGCAGACTAGTAATAACTCCTTAAAATAAAAGAACTGTAGTATAAGTTATATAACTATAAGTATAAGATAAGATAAAGAATAAGCACTTATTTATAAGTAAAATAAGCACTTATTAGATACTTAAGTAAGTGCTTATTTAACCTCTAAATAATTAGTTGGGAACGTAGTTTAAAGAATAGCTAGGACTTATATATAAAATAGACTAAGACGTACTTAAGAATAGACTATTATAGCTCTTTAGTAATTAACTTATAATATATTCTCTAAATACCTTTTAGTATCTAACCTTAGTAATTTAATATATATAAAGCTATATAAGCTATTTTAATAACCTAAAAGTATAACTAATTATTAAGTAATTAATAAACTATAAGAATAATATTACTATTAACTAAGTATAAACCTTTACTTACTATTAGTAAAAACCTTACTATTTAAAAACTAGTTATAACACTTTAATTACTTTTATTAAGTAAGTTAACTTTAATACTTACTTAATAGTATTTATTAATATTTATACTGAAGATAACCTTAACTTTTTTAGCTTTAGAAAAAATCTAGTTACCTTAGCTATTAAGAGCCTAAATAAATAAATAAAAGATATTAAAAGATCTAATAATAAAGTAGACTTTACTTAAAGTATATTTAATAAGATCTAGTAATATATAAGATAATATAATAATAATATAGCTTATAAATAAGCTATAACTAATAATATTAATAAGAAACTTAATATAGCCTTCCTAGTAGCTATTATAGTTCTAATAAAATAAAGCTAGACTATAGTAGTGTTATAAAGTAAGGTAGTGTAAAGGTAAAGCGTAATAGTAAAGTAGTAAAGTAAAGTAAATAATAATAAGGAGCTAAATAAATAACATAAGATAAGATAGGTAATAAATAGAAAGTATATTTATAGTTAACTTTTTTTTTATAAAAGGTTACCTACTAAAGAAATATATACCTAGGGTATATATAACGTATTATATATATATTAGGTATTTAGTCTTTACTATTTATTTATCTCCTAACTATAGGTACTTACTACCTTATTTTATAATAAGTGCCCCCCTTAAAAAGACTTTATTTTCTTTTACTAAATACTTTAAGAGCTAATTAAGAAAGTAATAGCTACTATTTTTTTATCTCCCTTATATTATAGCCTTATATCTTAAGGTTATTTATCTATATTTTAACCTTACTATCTACTTATTATTATTATTACTTAGGTTAATAGCCCTAGCCTAGTGCTTTTTTTCTTATAAGCCTATAAGGCTACTAAGCTTCTTTACTAGTTAAGGTTACTTATTACTTTTACTATTTAAGCTTATATTACTAATAACGCTTTAGGTAGTAGTATATATCTTTTACTAAAAGTAAAATATCTTTATAAGTAAAGTAACCTAATTTTATAACTATTTAAAATCTTTAGCCTTAAACTTATTAAGGGTATTAAGATTATTTACCTTATAGTTAAGGTTCTTAACTTTATTTTTAATAGTATTAATTTATTTCTTAATATTATTAATTTAGACTACTTATTAGTAAATCTTTTTAGCCTTAGTATATAAGCTTTTTTTAATAGCCTTATTAATATTACTTTATACTACTATAGCTACTTTAGCCTTATTAATAGCTATTACTAAGGTAGTAGTGTTTTTTATATTTTTATAAATTAACTTAGTGTACTTATTAACTTTAGTAGTAAGGTTAGTAACTTAGTCTTCTAGCTAGTTAATTAGGTATAATTAGCTTTTTATATAGTAAGTATACTAAATTTTTAGTATAAAGATATAGTCTAAATACTAAATAAGTAAGAAAATACTTATAACCTTAAAATTACTTTACTTAAGTTAATATAAGAATATAAAGCTAATTAACACTATATAACTAAGAAGTTCTTTAGACTATAGTTTACTTTCTTTATAATTAGTAAAAATAATATTTATAAAGGCTATAATCTACTATTAAAAGTACTTATCTAAAGTTAAAAAGGTATATAACTATTTAGTATTAAAGCTTTATTAGCTTATATAAAAGCACTAGACCTAGACTTTAGTCTTTTTATATAGTATTTAGTTACTACTACTATAAAAGGCTTTATTAAGGTATATAATTACCTTTTTTTTAATAAAGATTATTAACTTTTTAGTAGTAAATA